AGACATATTTTATCACCAGAAAAGGTCTGACAACCGTGTCCAAATGGGTCAAATTGGCCAAATTGGATGCCGGTTTTGGCTTGAAAATAACAATGTTCACCCAATTGTCATAATATGAAAGAGTCTGGTATCAAAATATCGGTTTTCGGGGCAGCTGAAGCCATGGCGGTCAGTTCCGGCGGGAAAAGTTGAAATTTACATAAGAGTCAAGTTTGGTATCAAAATATAGGTTTTCGAGGTAGCCGAGTCCATTTTCGTACATATTTGGGTGATTAAGTTGTTTCCCTGTGTCGCAAACGGAGATAATCCAAATAGGGATTTAGGGTTCCGATTAAGGATTAATGATACTGATGTCTTAGATCTACCTAATACGACTCTCGGCCTACAACCGGGGCCACCCGCAGCTTACTGGGGTGTCAGCCTATTCGGACATGCCAAAGCATAGCGGGCATGTCGACTGGGGCAACTCTCAGCTCTCAGCGGTAGCAGTCTAGTGGACGTGTATCAGCTTAGTCAGCAACCTCGACAACTGAACCAATATGGCCATGCCTATTGAAGAATGGGGAGACACAGATGGATACTGAAGTATCGCCTTCCGTGAACCGTTAGATAACGAAAATAACGGCTATTGGAGGCTTTAATATGGTGGCTATGGTGAGTAATGATGGGCGTGATTTAGAGCTTGGTGAAAAATATCATTGAAGCCTAGCTGTTGAAGTGGAGGAGCATGATTCGTGGTCCAGGCGGTCCGTACTGTCAAATTTCATATATACAAACCATTGACTTTTACATGGTCTGAAGGAAAGATTAATATCGATGACCAGTGTTACAATAGAAATATTCGCGACAGCTATTTTGTCGGCATACCAAGACAGGGCCAATGACAGCAATCAATATGTTGTCACTCTGCGTAACCTAAGCAAAAAAAGCTTATTTTCGAACTTCCTAAAAATATTGATGTAATGAAACTATACATCAAGTTTTATACACCCCCTCCCCCCCCCCCAACCAACCGCTCCCCAACCAACCTCTTAATTAGAGGCCCGGTTATTCTCCGTCATCAAAATTGTTTATCTCTCCTCCGCTCATTATCGAACTTTGTCAAGACATTCACCTAATAAAGAACTAGGCCAAGTGTCAGCATTCAAGCTCAATTGTGAACTGGGGGTGGCCCGTTTCGACATGTCTGTTCTGCTGCTTCCGCTGTGTGTGAGTGAGAACAGTGGTAGACCAGAGAGTCCAAATGAAATTTTGTTGCTACTTAAAGAATGCCATCTTATTAGATCTGAGACAGACTCAATAATCCTTAATTTCCCAATCTTTTATATTTGATTTTCTCCTATAATGACCAAAGAATATAAGCCAGGAGTATCATTAATCCCTAATCAAAAACTCAAATCCCGATTTGGATTTCCTCCTTTTTGAAACAGGGAAACAATTTAATCACCAAAATGTGTAGCAAAATGGAATCAGCTACCTCAAAAGCATATATTTTGACACCAAATTTGAGCATTTTGTAAAATTCGAATTTTCCCGCCAAAACCTACTACCATCTTGAATTATTCCCAAATATTGACCACATTATACATGTATAATATATAACTAATCACCAAATCTTGTATGGAAATGGATTCAGCTACCCCGAAAAGGTATACGAAACTCGACCATATTTTGGGCAATCCAGAGTTCACAATTTTTATCCGATTTTGATGAAACTTGCGATACGGCCTATGCCTTTAACGCAAAATGTGAATTATTTACATAGTATCTGGTCCCTCCTCTAGAGCCCATAGTAGTCCGTTATGTAAGCCTACTATTTTCTTTGGGACTACTCAACTGACATGAGAGTAAAAGTTAATTCTATACAGTGTTACCACTTAATGTATATAAAACTATTACACCGCATATTTGAGAATACAAGTCCGTTCTGGTAAACACTTATGTTTATAACACTAAATCTAAATTGTGTCCTGGACACAACTTTGATATTTTTTATGCAAAACAATCACACACTTATACATTAATTACAATGTCTAGTAGATAAATTGGTATTGTTGTCCTGTTTTTTTTTTCAAGAATCTTATTTGTGTATTTGGGGAAAGCCGCGCCAAATTTGTGGGTGTATCGCCTGGAGGTCGCAAGTCTGAATGAATCAGCATGTAACTTAGCATGCTTAAATTCCTTACATCCTAAGGATAATCTACATTGTTTTTGGTTCACGCCCGACCCAAGGGACAGAGGGGAGCCCAATTTTTGGTTGTATCCCATTTATGCTGCAATGCAGAGTGAATACTCTTGAATCTTAGCGCATTTATTCCTTAAACCATAAGGACGCCAACTATTGATTTTGGTTCATGTCCAATACCCAGGGGAGGTGTCAACTGTCATGCGCATATTTAAAAAAAAAAAATTTTGTCTGTAAATACTCAGGGAGTTGGATGGCCAAATTGTTAACGCGTGCGCGTTGGATCAGAAGGTCTTTCATTGAGTCAATCGGCGTGGTTTCGATTCCCCGCTTGCACGTGACAAGGAGTAGGGTCGCCTGTTTCCTCCCACTGCTAAAGACAACTACGCGCATGCGAATTATTGAAATAAAAATGAACAATATTAATCCCAATATAGTGTAAGAGAGTACAAAAGATATTTTGATCACTTTAGACACAAAATGTGGCATTCAGTCAGGTTTTATTCGTCACCCAATATAAGAATATCGGACCGGTCTATCTCACTGGAAAAATGCTTCCATATCAAGGGGATAACGAGAGAGAAAGAAATGAGGTTTAACGTCCACTCGACACAAGTTAGGTCATTTCGGGAGTAACATATGGTTTAATTTTATTTCAATAATTCGCTTGCGTTTAGGGGTCTTTACCAGTGGGAGGAAACCGGAGGACCCGGAGAAAACCCACGAGGTTGGACAGGCGACTCTACTCCTTGTCACGTACAACCGGGGAATCGAAACCACGCCAGTTGACTCAATGACAGACTTTATGGTACAGCGCGCACGTGCTAACCATTCAGCCACCCCCCCCCCTCCTCCAAGGGGATAACAACTAGGCCACTATTTGTGTAAGTGTAATAGTACTAATAAATGCATTCATTTTACATAACAACACATTTAAACCATGTCTGGCCCGTTGTCTTAATAATGATCATGGATAGTGTATAGTTAAGAATGAAAAAAAAAACATGTTTTGAAACAAAGATTAAGAACTGTGAAAAAAGTTTCTGAAATATTAAGAAATGGCATAACTAGTTCAGAATTGTCAGGGAATAGCCCAGATGGAAGAAGAAAAGGGTTGTTGCATATTTTTTTTCTTTTGCCAGCAATGAAAACATTTACAAGACACCAAAACCTGATTCTGAGTAACAACTCATTAAGTCATTATCAGAAATCATTAGAATGTGTTAGGCTTCTAATAGCTATGTGTACCAGGCTATTGTCAAACAAATAGCAACGTTTGAGAGTGATAATATGGGGAGCCGGAGTGGTACACAGCAAAAAAATTCGAGTTGAAAAATTGGGTAATATTAATCTGAACCAAATAACGATAAAATATAAATCTATTTTCTTTTACAGAAAATTACCATGGACCTTTTAATACATGTATTATAAGGTCCATGATGTTACGCAGTGGACCGATTGAGAGGATTTTTTATGCGCTCACATTTTCTTGCGGACGCATTATGCTGTCGTCCGATCACACTTCTTTCTTGGCAATCTAGAAGTCACAACTTTTATCCGATTTGGATGAAACTTAAAATATATGTTTATGTCCAACATGTCTAGGATAGGTTTGATTTTGGTTCGCATCGGATCGAAACCTCTTGGGTTACGGTCCTTGCCTATTACACAACATATTATGAATTATACATAAAAACACATACTTATGGAAAAACAGCTACTTATTTATTTGCAGGCCCGTAATTAGGGGGCGGGGGGCAAAGCCCCCTCTGCAAAAAGTTTCGCCCCCCCCCCCCCGTGAAAAAATTGTCGACCATAAAAACAATAGATAAACATTGTCCGTCAATTTTACAGCAACCCCTGAGAACACTTCCCGCCCCCCTTCGTTGCTCTGAGCTAGTTACGTCCCTGTTTTTTTGGGCGACGTTTCGAAGAATAATGATATTCAGTTTCCTGAAAGTTGGCCATTTTTAAGTGAAGAGTGATAACAGATACACGGGGGAATTTCTGCTCATGAATAATTCCTTCGAAGGCCAATAGTTGTTGTGTGAGACTGTGTGGGGGTATCTAAGAATTGACTGTCACTAGACAAGAGAACACGAAAATTTTTTTAGAAAAAGTCTGTGCATTACCATTTTTTTTATTAAGTTTAGAATAAATAAAAACAAGTGAATGTACGGACCATTTCTATTTTTTTTTTTTTTTTTCGTGTTCTCTTATCTAGTGACATTCAATTACTTTTTTGAATTGTCAGATATCCTCTTACAGTCTAACATAACAACTTTTGGTTTTCGAAGGAATTATTAGTGAACAGAAATTCGCCCGTGTAGCTGTTATCACTCTTCACTTTAAAATGGCCGACTTTCACTTCAGTCAGATAACTCGTGTTTTCCTTCTGCGTTCGTCACTTCCGATTGTTGAAACCTTCATTACGCATCTATCGTAGCAATGATCTCTGTGTTAAAATTATATTTGCAAATTATATTGTCCTTTATTAACATTTTAAAAAGGTGACGCGCGAAGTGGTCGAAATAGAACGCCATAGTTTTAAGTATTCTTCCTAAGACTATGTGTTTCTCCAACTGTTTCATTCACTTTTTAATTATCTATTTAAAAACTTGAGACCAAAATAATTATAAAATGTGTTATTTCTGTCTTGTATAAAGGAACCGCATTTTGATATTTGGTAATTTTAAGAGACCTACTACAGCCAAGTCTGTGTATTTCTATGTAAATTTACCTCTGTTGCACGAATGATTTTTGGTAGAGTTATGGCCCTTAGGAAAACTCTGTTCACGGAGTTACAATACTCAATTTCAACCTCGCGCGAAGTTAAGCCACATGTTTGTTAAAAGCTGATGTAAATATCGTAAACTATGAGAAAATAATGTGGTGTTAATCTGAGATCGTCGACAATCAATGTATGGACGATTTTAAGAAATTGCTGCAATATTTGGTCGGGTGACATTATTGCCAATACAGTGCCATTGGCATTGGGTGATAAATAGTAAGTAATAACAGTGCATACGAAATACGAGGCGGTGCGCGTATTCATATGTAATATAAATTATAAATAAATAACCTATTTCTGTCCATTGATTAAAGTGTAATACACAAATGGCCTATATGATTACTGAGTCATACTTAAGGAAATTTGGGAGCGACGGTGGCTCAGTGGGTAGGAAGTTGGCTCATTAACCTGGAAGTCCCTGCATTTGACAAGAAAATTCATAGGGATTTTCCGGCGTGGTTCCTTGTCAGTGGTGCAGGACAGAGGGCCTGGCAAGGACCAATGTATAGTTGTTTGGATGGGATGAAAAACCCAGGTCCCATGTACACATTGGCGTGCACATAAAAGAACCCTTGACATTTGGAATTCAAAATAAGAGTAGGCCATCACTTATTTGAATTAATATTAAATTGTACTTACTAATACTACTGTTTATTTTGTGTATTTTTCAGCTTTTACAAACATATAATCTTAAATAGATGTCATCATGGCAACATCTCCAAAATCAAGTATGGAAACTAGTCATGAAAATTTAGATGAATATTTCTCAAGTTACAATGATGTGACTGTTCATGAACTCATGTTAAAAGATAGACCAAGAACGCTGGCCTATAAACAATTTTTTGAAGAAAATCGCGAATATATAGTAGATAAAGTTGTCATGGATGTTGGTAGTGGTACAGGAATATTAGCTATGTTTGCTGCAGCAGCTGGGGCTAAAAAGGTTTACGCTGTTGAGGCTAGTGAGATGGCAGCTATTTGTAAAAATATTGTAGTTTGTAATGGTTTTGAAGAAAAAATTGAAGTCATCAACAAGAAAGTTGAAGATGTTGAGTTAGCAGACGATGAAAAAGTAGACATTTTGGTTTCAGAATGGATGGGATTTTACCTTCTGCATGAGTCCATGTTAGACTCTGTTATTTTTGCACGTGATAAATTCTTAAAACCGAATGGAATTATGGTGCCTTCTCATGCAAATTTATTAATAGCTCCTGTTAATATGGATAATTATTATGATGACCATTTTGAATATTGGAGTAATTGTTATGGTTTTGATTTGTCTCCTATGGTACCAGCGGCGATGGCTACTAGTTTCAAGGAGCTACTCATCACTGAGATTTCTGAAAAACAACTTGTGGCCGAGTCCGACTTTGTTACTGCTTTTGATTTAAAGACCGTGACTATTGATGACGTTCGACATTTAAGTAAAAGTTGTGAATTTCTTGTCAATGAAGATTGTACAATTCATGGCTTTGTAACTTGGTTTAATGTTGTATTCACTTGCCTTAACTCTGAGGTTCAAAGTTCAAATGAATCCAGTTCCATCCAACTTGTAAATAGTGAAGCAGCTACAGAGTCTGACCCAGTTGTTAGTCTTCCAATAACACTTAGTACTGGTCCATCAGCGGAAGCAACGCATTGGAAACAAACAGTTATATTCCTCACTTCTGCATTAGAAGTAGAAAAAGATAGTATTCTCCCTTGTTTAATAGAACTTTCCCAAGATAAAGATAATAAACGGCATTATAATATATCTATAGACTTGACAGGTAATGAGGATGATATTGAGGCTGAAACGAATGACCATCCCATTCCCTGTGATTGTTCAGCACCGAGGTGCAAGTTGATAAAAACTGTAATGGAGAAATTTGCAGAGGAGCAGGATGAAGTTGAAACTGAAGCAGAAAATACCGAAACAAATGCAGAGATTGAGGCAGCTCGTGTTTTAGACTCTGAAACAATCAGTGATGTGTCTATTTAACAAAAAATTTCTTTCTTAATAAAGCTGTGAATTTATCTATAGATAAGGGTGACAGCTACTATCATCAGTTTGTGAAGACTTTCTCTAAGTATCCATGTTCAATCACCACACTAAATTAAAGATTATGACATAACAGGCAAACTAGAACTAGCCATTGATATTGGGGATGACATATTGAAACCTTTTGTTGCATTGGTGTAACATTATGCATTCTTTAATTAAGGGTAACAATATAAAGCTTTTCTGAAGTCCCCTCTTGTTAAACTTGACCAACCAGTCCAATCTTATTTCTGGATTGGATAAACTGCTTGAGAATACAAAAACTTCATTTCTGACACACAGGTGTCCATTTTAGTCTGCTCCAGAATATAAATATAACTTTATGCATTCTTTAATATCTGGTAAGGGTAACAACATAAAGATGTTCTGAAGTCCCCTTTGATTAAGCTTGACCACACAGTCCAATCTTATTTCTGGTAAAGAATAAACTGCTTGAGAATTCAAGAAATTCATTTCTGACACACAGGTGTCAATTTTCGTCTGCTCCAGAACATAGGCGTACCAAATGCTGGGAAAATTTGGGCACACAATTGTATTTTGTAAAAGTTGTATAAAAAAAGATATTGTGTTCTTGAATGTGTCCAATTTAACAGCGAATTTATTATTATTATGTAACATACTAAGAACCTAACTACATTTTTTGGGCAGCAACCACCACCGCCCCCCCCCCCCCCCAGTCAAAAATTTCCCCGTACGCCTATGCTCCAGAATATAAATTTATGAGTTTAAATACCATTACCCCAAAATATAAGAGTTGCATCAATATTCAATACTATTTCTAGGCAATATATGAGTTGCACTAATCCTATTTCTAGGCAACAATATATTTATATGAACTTTTCATGTATCTTGTTATGGAAATTGTTAGAGTTTACCAGTTTATATTATAATAAAAATGTATTAATAAACCATACAGTAAATTGTTGCTTTATTTTTAGCTCCTCTTATGAAGACCTTGCCATTCATTTCTGACAAAGGGGTTCATAAGGAATGTTGAGCTAAATTTGAGGGTTTCTCCACTTTGTAAACCATGGGCTATCCAGGCTAGTTGCTAATTTAGGAGAGGTACACTATGCCATCCAAAATGGACAAATATTGTGTGCATGTGGAGAATTTCTAAATAACATACACACACACACACTGGGATTTATCCTTGACAAGAGTATATTAATTAATATTAAAAAGTAAACCAAATGTTACATTTTTTTTTATTGTCAATAAATCTATTAGATAAAATCCTATAATTTGAAATAAATTTCCCTAATCAAACTTTCTTCAATCACATGACCCGTCCTTCCACCCTTCTTTCCAACGTTCATCAACTTTATCACAATCGAATTCTGGTTTTCCAAGTTTCTTATTCACCTTGTTGTGTATTTTACAAAACCATAAAGATAATTCTTTTTGACCTGAAGTATCTGGAGGGTAGTCCTTCATATCATTTCTTAAATCTGAAGCACAATGTTCACATGGATAAAAATTTGAAAAAATATGAATTAAACTTTTCATGTCAGTTTGTTGTGTGTTTGATGGTTTCTCAGGAAAATACGCTGCCATAGTGTGTAGAAATGACCACGTATTCCGCCCCAGTTCGTCTTTATCCAAAGGGCAGTCGTGGTTTGTTTGCCTCCACTCGGTGACACCGGTTGCTTGTGATTTACCCTTCGGATTCGGTTGAGCTTTCATCCATGACTGGAAATCCGTACAAGTTCTGCATGGTTTATGCGGTTTAGGAAAGGCGCCACTGTCATAATGATGGGCATGATCTTTTGCCTTTTCTGCCATTGTCACTTGTTTAAAATCGTAATGACGACTAACAATTTCCTGATGAAATATCCATGCTTGTTTACATGAAGCGGAAGATTCGGTAAATGGGACATAACTCTATTATGATATTTCATTCGGAATCCATCGTCTAAATTGAATGTGGCGCTTGGTTGTATCAAATCAAAACAGAATGACGTACATAATGACCGATGCTTGTGACATATAAATGATTGTGACATCACACACTTGTTAACTTAGAAAACATTTAATAGATGGGCTGGATAAGGCACCCCTACAATCTGCGGAGCTTTCTGGTAAATTCAATATTTTTACATAAAATACTTAATTTTCGAACCTATTTAATTTTTGCGTACATGACACAGATCCTAGCAAAAGCTAACGATCATCAAGCAAAGCAAAACGATATGAACAATTTGATTGTGAACGCGATAGATGATAGAGTTTTGGTGTCACAAGAGGAGGAAACCTATGGACATTCGGCATTTCACGAAATTTCGTAGGAGCAGAACAGTAGGACGTTAAACTCCATTTCATTTCATTTCAGTTCCAGAGTTATGCCCTCTTTTCCGAAAACTTTTTTTCAAATTTGGTGTATAATTTTTGGGTCACGAGAGAACGAATTCTATCAATATTCAGCGTTTCTCGAACTTCGTTCCTCTGTTACACCCTTTGCCCAAAACACAGTGAACGTGATAGAGGCCACAGTTTTAACGAATTATTTAGTATTTTGTGTGCAACCTTCCGTTGCAGAGTTGTGCCCCCTTTGTCGAAAACCTTGGAGAGAGAGAAATGGGGTTTAACGTCCACTCGACACAAACTAGGTCATTTCGGGACTAACATGGTTTAATTTTATTTACATAATTCGCTTGCGCGTAGGGGTCTTTAGCAGTGGGAGGAAACCGGAGGACCCGGAGAAAACCCACGAGGTTGGACAGGCGACCCTACTCATGTCACGTACAACCGGGGATTCGAAACCACGCCAGTCGACTCAATGACAGACTTTATGATACTGCGCGCGCACGCTAACCATTCAGCCATCCAACCCCCCGAAAACCTTGGAAACTTGATAGACGCTACAGTTGAAACATTTATCTAAAATTTCACGTGGAGCATTTTGGTTATGGAATGACGGATCCAATGGATATTTTCGAGACATAGCTGCGATGTGACTATCTTGTGAATAGGACCTTATCTGCCAATGGAATGCCAGTTCAAACTGGTATAATATTATTGTATTTGACGAGTATTGTATAAATTAAAAAAAAATAAATAAAAAAGCATACTTATAAATAGAGAGAGAGAAAAGAAAATCCTAGTGAAATAACATTTCCTCTTGTCGACGGTTCATCAGACACAAATTACTGAACAAAACAGGGTAGGTGTGTGTGGTGGGGGGGGGGTGTACTTTCAAACAGATATACACGACCCACACTGATAACTTTTATGACAAATAACCGCGGGAGATCTGATATTGCAAACTATTCTGCACCGCAATATGGGGAAGGAGAAGTGGGTATTCATATTACAGAGGTATTTGCATCCCACCACATCAAGTGAAATGCCTGCTTTAGTTTTTTTTTATTATCTCTGTTTATTTCATTTAAATATACATTGTATTGTTATACTATTATAGGGTTTACGTCCCACCAGAAAAAGTTTAAAAGGCACAGACATGGATGTTATTCAGGTAAAAAAAAAACGCGCTCAGGTTGATTTGATGTAGTCGTAGTCCGGTCATTCTAACGTGTTTGAATTTATACGTAACCATCGAGTGATAATTTTTATACGCCCACATTGAAATGTGGTCGTATATTGTCGTCGGTTCGGCGTCCACAATTGCTTGTGGACGCTCTAGAGGTCAAAGTTAATATCCGATTGTATAAATTTATACACAGTGTTTAAGGTCATGAGACGAAGAAGTCTATTGATTTTCAGCGATTTCCGATAATAACTGCAAGAGTTATGGCCCTTGATCACTTCAAAAAATCTTGTGGACGCCCTTGAGGTCAAAGTCAATATCCGATTGACTTTAAATTGATACACAGTGTTTAAGGTCATAAGATGAAGACGCCTATTGATTTTCAGCGATTTCCGATAATTACTACCAAAGTTATGGCCCTTGATTACTTCAAAAAATCTTATGACACTTTAGGCGCTAAAGTTATCATCCTATTGACTTCAGATTGATACACAGAGTTTAAGATATTAAGACGAACAAGTATATTGATTTTCAATGAATTTTTATGACTTGAACAGCTAAATCCATGATGTTAAAAGTTTCGTATACTAAAGGTTAGCATGGGGCAGAACTTTATAAAAACCAAACAAATTCAAATGGTTTTCTTATAATTACTTAATGAGTTGTTATTCTTAATTAGATTTTAATGTAATATAAATGTTTCATTACAGAAAAAAAGTAAAAATATGCGACAACTCTTGTTGACTGCCCGGACGATTTAGCTGCTGTGGGCGTATGTTTCGTTGTCTGGCAACCTATCTTGTCTTCATAGATTGTTCACACAAGTCTAAAACTGATCAAGGGCAACCACCCTGGAAATCATTATGATGTTTTTATTTTTGTTGGGTGCCCTTTATTTTATTATGTACACATGTGATTATGTTTCGGATTCTTGTGACATCTCACCTCCATTGCTGATTTTATTAGCTTTCAAACCTGAATATCAGATTTTTCCAGGAGTAGGAAACAATGGTCTTATGACTTCTCAACGCTTGTTTGTCAGTTGTCAAATTGATATTTTTCTGACCAGTGATAAAAACAACTTTTGAAAAGAGTGAGAGAAAGAGAAATGGGGTTTAACGTCCACTCGACACAACTAGGTCATTTCGGGACTAACATATGGTTTAATTTTATTTCAATAATTCGCTTGCGCATAGGGGTCTTTAGCAGTGGGAGGAAACCGGAGGACCCGGAGAAAACCCACGAGGTTGGACAGGTGACCCTACTCCTTGTCACGTACAACCGGGGATTCGAAACCACGCCAGTCGACTCAATGACAGACTTTATGATACAGCGCGCACGCTAACCATTTAGCCATCCAACCCCCCCTTTTGAAAAGACGTCTATCCTGTCAGGGTTAAAGAATTACAGGAAATGGGAAAATGTTGCTCAGTCTTTCATGCAGTAGAATTTGCAGCAGTTAAAATTTGTTGATTTTAGAATTTAAGAGTACCCCAGTACTAGTAGGGGCGAATGAAGTCTGTCGATCTTCATAATGAATTAATTCATTACTGATTGAAATTATAAAAACATAGCTTTTCTAGAACCACAGACACAGGGAGGCTACAAAATCGCAAATTGAATTGACAGAGCAGATACGAAAGCGGAGAGTGTGATCTCTTTTGAGAGAGAGAGATGGGTTTAACCTCCACTTGACACAAACTAGGTCATTTCGAGGCTAACATGGTTCAATTTTATTTCAATAATTCGCTTATGCAAAGGGGTCTTTAACAGTGGCTGACAACTGGAGGACCCAGAGAAAACCCACAAGGTTGGAAGGCAACCCTACTCCTTGTCATGTACAACCGGGAAATCGAAACCATACCAGCTGACTCAATGACAGACCTTATTATACAACTCGCATGCGCTAACCATCCCCCCACCCCCGATCTCATTTGATGGGGTTGCTTTGTCGATTTTTACCGCAAGAGTTTCACCAGATAAAAATGACAGTTTTCCGAATAATTATGATTTATATTTTTGGTGTGTGTTGTTTTTCGCCTTAAGATGTTGGCATAGAAAACCAAAGTTGAAGTGTTCTGAACAGGGGTTGAGGGGGTATCCTGTGTCCTCTGCTAGAAATTTTAGAAAATGGGTGCAGAAACGACGAAATCTGATGTCTTCTGACAGGCTACTAGTTAAAACCTATCAGATCAAAATACAACTTAGACCACTAAGAATCAATAATTGATTCGGTTCACTTCTATGTAGCATATTGAACAAAAGTCTCCACTCACTAACCGGAGACGAGCATGAGATGGGACCTCCCCTTTACCTAAACAACCAATACTCGAACACATATCAATTGTTAAAATCAGTGAAGATATGAAATGAGAAGGATGGTCAGACAATCTTATTGCTAATGTACGAAAAACATTTTAAATTACAGTCAGCAAAAACATAAGGGCAGCTGGGCATTTGCTCCCATAGCCTCGCCGATCTGTCTTATACATGTATGTCAAAATCTATCAACCTTTATTCTCCTACGTCTTTCATAGGTTTTGTTCATTATGACATGTTCCATATTGTGTTGGTCACTCTCCGAAATATAAGTAAACAGGTTTATTTTTCAAGTCAGGACTTATTTTACATGTATGAGGTAGAATATTCAATTGTACCATGGATTTCAAACACATAGTTATGTTTTTAAATGAACATAATTAATTATTTAATCATGCAGGATGAAATCAATTTATAGTAAAAGCTCCACAGCTTCTGAAATCTATGCACAAGTCATTAATCCACTTAGCTTGTAGTAGTGACAGGTGTAATGCATAAGGCAGTGTATGTTTACTTTCTAGAAAATCTGAAGCCACTTGTCAATTGAGAGAAATGGGGTTTAATGCCAAATTGACACAAACTATGTCATTTTGGGACTAACATATGGTTCAATTTTTTATTTCAATAATTTGCACGCCAATGAGGTTAGACATGTGATGCTAAGGTCTACTTGTCACATACAAGCATGGAATCGAAACCACACCACTTGACTCAATGACAAATCTTGTGATCTAACATTCACAATTTAACCATTCAGCCACCCAACCCCTCACTTGTCAATTGAGAAGTTCAAGTAACTAACAAATTAGTTGTACTTTTGTATTGAAACAGGTATATTTTCATAAAAAAAAAAAAAAAAAAAAAAACGATCACGCATATTAACAAAATTTCACATACTGTCTCACAATAATTGTCTACATTAAAATACTACAAATTGATTTGTCTTATTTCTTTCTTTTCCCAGGCTTTTTCTTCTCTAATTTTGTATTGATATGTGTAATTTCTTCGCGTTTAATGTCTTTAGCATTACAAAATAAAGTCAGTTTTTCTAACATTTCCATAGTAGTTAAGTTTTTGGTTTTTAATAACAACTTTTCTCCATCAGCTGAAAATATAAAAATAAAATGTTCAAATGAAAGAAATAAAAAAAATAGTTTTAGTGTAAGATTCTTGGATTGTGTAAAAGGGTACATCCCAAATATGTTAGCGAATAAAACTAGTTCATTCTTTGTGGAATTGAATGGCTCATAAAAACCATTAAAGATACATTATGATGCAGGAGCTAAATCTGCCTATTGCAGGTCTTTCTTTAGGCCTGAAATTTTATACAATGTATAAACTATTAATTAGACATTTATTAACAAGACAAGACCATATCAACTCTCGATGCCATCTGATTTTTATTAGATTTGAATTTGATCTACCGTTCAATAGCCATTGATGATTAAACACAAAAATGGATAATCAAGACTTTTTTTTATTTTTGTCACAACACCAATAATGACAATCGAGGCTACAATGTTTTTAAAATGAGTATTTCTCAGCTAAGTGTGAAGCAATTTGACTGAAATTTTCAGAATATTCCTGTAACATTATCTGTTATTTAACTTTTATAGTGAGAACTGTCAGCTCTTTATCTAATCTTCCATAATGTATCTGAAGCTCTGCGATATATCAAAATTTAGTTGTCAGCCAGAGTTAATTAGCAATCCCCTTGTGATGCAATAATTAGAAATTGAGTGTGGAAGCACCGTGGCTCAGTGAGTAAGACACTGGCTTGCCAACAAGAAGTCTTTGGTTGCTCCCAATGTTGGCGAAGTAAATTCCTCAAAGCTTTTCTGACACAGTTTACCCTTGTTGGTTGTGCAGGACGGAGGACCTGCTAAGGACTGGTGTCTAGTCATTTGGTTGGGACTTTAAAAGAACCCTTAGCAACGCTGTTAGGGCAAAATTTCTCCTATAGCACACTGCATGGTGTATGCCTGTCTTCATTAGCCCAGTGGTGCAGAAAAGTAAGACAATATTTAACTCCTTTTCATTTCATTTCATTGAGTACAACCCAATTTTAGCAATATTAAAGAAATCTACATTATTATGTCCCTTTATTATTTAATACTGGTAGATCTACCAAAAGATTTTTAAAATGAAATGAAATGGGGTTTAACGTCCTACTGTTCTGCTCCGATTGGGCTAAAGAAGACAGGCTTATGCCATACAGTGTGCTATGAGAGAAATTTTTCCCAGACAGTGGGCGCTATGTCCTACTCTTACATGTATATCTAATTCCTACTGCCAGGGATCTTTTACATGCACGCAAGAACTTGATTTTCGTACGATCTAAACAACTATACAGTTGTCCTTGTCAGGCCCTCTGTCTTGCACCACTGACAAGGGGACACCACGCCGGAAAATCCTGATGAACTTTCTTGGCCAGCACAGGGATCAAACTCACGACCTCCAGGCTATGGAGCCAGTGTCTTACTCACTTACCCACTGTGGCTCTCCAAGAAATTTTTAACCAAACAAATTCTTACCGAAGTCAACATCTACAACTGGTTCACACCGGTTAGATTTGACATTAATTCTAAGAGCTACCAAATCATTTGTTGCTATAACTTTTGGAGAATGTACCATATGTAGAAGTTCTCTAAAAAGTACAAAACAATTTTAATTATGGAAACATCAATTTTCGACAAATTCTTTTTTCTACAAAAGATGCCATATATCCTTTAAACTATGATCTGATCAAATTAAAATGAACAATAAAAATAGGAGATGCTTAACAGATCTTTAGACATTCAGAGCAGCCAAACTAAATTTTCAGAAAAAAGTTTCTGAAAACTGAATTTGTCTGCTGAAAGTCAGTAGGCCTTCTCGAGGGGAGGACTGAAACAGGAGTGAGGTCTCGATATGACAATTAATTTATCCTCTAACAGGCCAGTAGCTAGCAGGGGGCAGGGAGGCAAGGGGGAAAGCTGCCCCCGCTGGAAAAAATCGGCACCCATTGGGGAAAAAATTGACTTCCCCAATGGGTGCTGAAGGCGCCCTTTCCATTAGACGCAATACGACGCCAACGACCAGCGTGTCCATATCAGTATGGGCGCCCAATAAAGTCGAGTGACATTGGTTGGATGCCCACAACAAGGTTGACGTTGTCGTGGCGCCCAACCAATGTCATTTGAATTTATAGGCGCCTCGCCATTCATGTCGATATGTATGAGGCGCCCCCCAAATGGTGAGGTGCCTCATAATGAATCACACAATTAACACTGCACAACATGATTGATGGGGCACCCAAAACAGCGAGATCTGTGGGGTGCCTTATTCCGGAGGGGCCCATAATGACATGATTGGCGTGGTGCCTTATGACAATATATGATTGTCGGGCCACACATAAAATAATACATAATGCTGAGTGAGATTTGTTGGGCACCCACGACTTGATCAATAGAGTGCCCAAAACGACATAATTGGTGGGGTGCCTCATCCTGGTGGGGCGCTCATAATGCCGAGATTGGTGGACTGCCAATGACATAATTTGCCTAACTTGATTCCGAACTTTTCGTTTTTCTCAGAAATTATTATTGGTACAAAGTCGTATTACTTTCTTCAAATTTTTATAATGTGTATATCAAAGACTGAAAGAGTAAGACATAATTATAATACACCAATATCGCAAATTCAGCCTCAAAATTTAAATTTTCGGTCATTTTCACAGTTCCTCTCCTCCAAGTGCAAACCCTATTTTCCAAAATTTGATGTGAGGTCATGACTAGTCCCCCTAAACATACCCTGACAGGTTTCAACGATTACGGGAACTGTAGAGCCAAGAGGTCAGGTGCGTTACTGAAGTAGAACTCATTTGGTTTGGGCTAGCTACGGGCCTGTGTCTATTCTATGCGCCTTGTCCTTAGATTAAATTTAGAAAAAAAACCCCGAAAAATACCTAATTGATCGAACATTCGTTGTAAACGGATCAAATGTAAATTTCATTGATTTCACTGGTCGCAAATGGAACGTTTCCATTATTATTCCGACCCTTCGCCATGCCATTTTGTCCAAAGTTACCTCTCTTGCGCACCTCTCTTGTATTTACCCGTACACCCAGTCTTACCTTTTAAATTGAATAAAGTAGTTTGGACATTCAAGACTACAAATAACCTAAATGACGCAGATGTAAAACGAGCACTGATTGGTCACCATTCTAAATATAGGACGGATAACTCTATAATTCAATGGACGCATTGGCTTCAATTGTTTCTAGTTGCCGAAAAAATCTAAATTTAAATTTTTTGTGGGATTCTATCAGTAATAACAGAACTGTAAGTATGACGACGAAAGTCTAATGAATCAAATTTTACTCAAATCGAGATCCCCACACCCAAATATGTCCATAAATCTACCGTCAAATGGTAACAGGTTGTGTTGAAAAAATGTATGTATGCGCCATATTTAGATGTTTTGACCTGTTTTCACACGGCTCACAAAATATCAGACATTTCGTTTTATATTGAAAAATATCCACCAGGACATAGATAGATGAATCACTTTGAAATTCAACTTTGATTTATATAGAGGTTCGCGTAAGTTATTTTGATACCTAAAAATCACACGGGCTACATGCCATGGATGATGGAATATTAGAGTATATCATTTATAATTATTATATTATATGGATTATGGTAACGGTTCACGAATCACATAAAATAAATAGATCACTGTGACAGTGGATTTAGTAATTTCAAAACAGATACCCTCCCCCCACCAGTGCTTATTATCTTGGCCTACACATAATATTAATTTAAGCAGATCAGAAATCTGCCTCACATTCGTTTGCAAAAGTTGGTTGATTGTTGATTTATTTAATTACAACTGTCAGATGCTTATGTTATTAAACTTAAGTTAAAGATAGAAATTATTTAATTAATGTAAACTTAATGAAAGTGATTATAATCTGATTTAGGATTGGTTAATTAGTTTGAATATGGATTATTTAGCCTTTCAGTTTGTATAACCCTCTCACGGGTGTTACCTCAATCAACATCCTCGTCTATACGCATATGTTATGAAATGTCACAATCTCAAGAATACACAAACCAGCGAAAAGGCCCAAAGGGCCTAAATACAGCTGACTATTATGGATATGGAACACAAAGCATCCTAGCTAGCACAAATATAGACACTAATGCTTCAATCTAAACGGTCAGTTGTCAAATCTCTGTGCATCCCCGGTAAGCGAGCTACCGACCCCAGTAATAAATTCTGCCAATTTGTGACCATGGAAACCCTGCTGGGGTTTTGGAATAGTATACATGTACAAGTAAATAAAAGCCCGCCACGCGTCCAATCAGTCTGAGGAGTTAAAACTAGTCATAGCACAGCCGGGATAACAGGTCTTGACTTCATAGCCACTCCTATAGTTTGAATAATGCTTATAACATAGGCGTACGAGGCAGGTGGGGGTGGGGCCCTAAATTTTGGGCATTCTTACTTTTCGGGCAGATGGATAATGTGACAAGAATTATTATTTCATCTTGTTGGCAAAATAAAGTGCCCGAAATCTAATGAAACACTGATTTTACTTTTCTTTCAATTAAATACCGGTACTGGTACCACAAATTTGTACTGAATTGACTATGGGGCCAGTCTACTTTGTGCAACATTTTTCGGGCATCGATTTGTGAATGGTTGGAATACACTTCGGCATAGAGTGAGATTTCAGTTACAAAACAATTGGACAACCTTGAAGTTGCTTAACTCACGGGCTATTATTGCAGAAAAATGCATTTTCGGGGCTTATATTTTCAAAATTTTCTCCTGGAGAGCGAGGCCCCCATAACCCATGACGAGTGGTTGTTTGGGATTCAGGTCAACTACCCAAGGTGGGCTAAAGTAGAGCACATTGGAGTTGCTGTATTCACAGGCTGGAACAGCAGGAAAATGCGTTTGCGGCACTTAAATTTTCAAAAATTTTCTCTTGATGCTCTCATCTGCGTAGACTGTAAATGATTGTTTAGTTGATTGATATTCGAGTCCACCACCTAAATTAGGCAAACATTAGACCGCTTTGAAGTTACTGTATTAACGACTGGAATAGAAAGAGAACATGTTTGTGGCAGTCAAATTTTCCAAATTGTCCTGGAGGTGTCCCTCCACGGTAAGCTTCACTCCTTCACCTCTCGCCACAGATTGGCGCTGTCTGTAATCTGAAATTTTTTCGGACATTTCGGGTTCTGCCCTCCTAACAATCATCAAACCTGTACGCCTATGTGCTTATAATAAATATGTTTTCCTTTTGGAATGAGTACATTGTTTAAACTTATAGAATAGATTGATTTGAATTTATATAGTTTTTGGATTTGTATTCTTTGTAAGCTGCATTTTTCTTGTTCTGAAAGAACCTAAGTAATAATAGGTTTTCAACTCAGGTATTTGAATATTTCCTTTTTGTAATATACATGTATGCTAAGCAATGCTCACATCTGTGACATAACATCAATGGTATTAAAATGCTTTAGGAAACAATATATTTTCTGATTTTTTTGACACACGTAAATCAATGTTTGTAGACATAATACTTTTACATCTGTTCCTATACTTGAATTATTTCTTTATATTTAAATTTCTGTTTAGATGCCGAGATATTCATCACGAAGAAAGCGATCACCTAGTCGCGAATCGTCATATGACAGTCGAAGGTATAAACGTAAAAGAAGTGATTATTATGATGATTGTTATTATGAGAATCAAGGAGGACATTCCCGGAGGTATGTGATGATCACGTTTCTGAAATTTGTTAATATCCTCCATAAAGTAACATTGTAGTCTTCTTGTTGAATAACAAAACATAGTCTTGGTTGTCAAGAACATATTGCATACTGGTTGTTAACCCTAGCTAAAGACACCTTAACAAGCTCAGCTTGTGCTTTTGCTTAAATAGTGACTACAAGACTGACATTTAAAACTTTGGCTATGAAGTACTGCCCTTCTCTTGTAGAGTAAGGTTAAGGTGTACTTCTTCGTCATACGTTAAACACTGTGATACCCGTACCACTAAATATCTACCTTGTTATCTTGACTTTGAATGGTCATAAATCCATCGACATATTTCCTTTAAATGATTTTGTGAAAAATTTTATTTTTATTCATCGAAAATAATTCATACAAATTGCAGAATATAAGTTAGCTTATGTGTTTGTACACGGCATTTTTACATTACATTTATTTTTGGGTTAACTCCCTTGTTTGTTTTTAAGTTACATGAAGTCTCTATCACTGCAGGCCCAGAACTGTACAGTTCATTGAACACTTATGACTGGCCGCTGGCATCCATTCAGTCACTGTTTATATTACTTTCATTGTTAGCTTATGTGTGTGATATCTTGTCAACAGAGTTGTCTTCTGGGTTTCTATTTGAATATTGGCATGCTTATCCTGAACTACAACTACAAGTGAAAACCCAATAAATATACATGTTACTTACTTGACTTATTGTATACAACTTGGGATAGTGAATCATTAGTTAACTCACAAGAGATGTCTTGAAGGTGAAGGACAAAACAAACATGAGGCTTTATAAATATTTGAGAAAAAATCTATCAATGTGAGGAATTCTTTTCAAAAAGTTCAATAAACTTAACTAATGACACAGTATTCCAGACTAAAAGGTAAATACATGTATATAGACCTTCAGTCCATACCCATTAAAAAGTCTTATCCTAAAGATGCATTATCCAAGAGCTAAATCTGCCTGATGCAGGTTTTCTATTTTGGTTTTAAATGTCATATAGATTATTGTTCAGACATTTATTCACATGACAAGCCCATAATCAACTCTCTAGTTTAGATGGCAGAGATTTAAACCGATTTAAATGCAATGGCCATTTAATGATTTAATTTAAAAATGTGGAAGTGACGCTGTGTCTCCTGTTAACAAGTAATGTTGCTACGGTAATAAACAATATTTGCCACATCTTGTCAAACTTCAAGCAGTAATAACTTGGCTCAGATTAAAATAATTTTAATGATACTATCTATATATTAATTTTGAATTATCTATTTTGAAACTATTGTAGCAAGAACGGTCAGCTATTTATCTTATCTTACATAATGCATCCTTAAAGATTATTGGTCTACTGATGGTTGAAATCGATCTATTCTGACATAAGTCTCTACTATGTTCTCATAACAATCTATTTAAGTCATGATATCATCTCTTTCCTGTCCAACCTCGTGGGTTTTCTCCGGGTTCTCCGGTTTCCTCCCACTGCTAAAGACCCTTACGCGCAAGCGAATTATTGAAATAAAATTAAACCATGTTAGTCCCGAAATGACCTAGTTTGTGTCGAGTTGAGGTTAAACCCTATTTCTCTCTCTCTCTCTCATCTCTTTCCTTCTGTCTTAATGTCAGCCAGCTACTGAAGGATAATTTGTTTCTATCCATGAATATCAAGGCCAATATGGCATTTAACCTACACATAGTTTTTTTTTAATTAAGCGCATAGATTACAGCATAAACAACAAATTTCAGTGTCGATATTTGTAAAATTTAAATAAAGAAAATGCTTATTAATTACGGTAGCCTTCTTCTGAGGCATTTAAAGCTACAGCATAAACAACAGATTTCAGTACCGATATTTGTTGAATTTAAATAAGGAGAATGCTTATTATTTACGGTAGCCTTAGAAAGCATTTAGGCTTTAAAACTTTCCATTTGTTAAAAATATGTCCAATCAAATAATTTACCGTACTCAAACTCAAAGCTTTAAGTTTAAATCAGTTGTCTTTTGTAGACAGTTTATTCAGGAAATATATTTTATTACATTAGTACTGATTGTAAATACCATAAAAGGATTAGCACCATATGTCAGTCCTTCAATACATGTATATAGATTATATTACCATGTTCATGCAGTAAAAGCATGGACACTCACATGGCTTGGTAAAATGTAGTTACCTCCCTTGCAATAGCTTGAATAAAGCAGACAGTTCAATTTAGAAATAGAACATTTGTATTGGAGTACAAAAATAACAAATATTTAGGATAAAAATTAATGAAAAACATGTGGATAAGAG